TGGTGTTGTTAAAAATTAATTACGAAAGATACACGAACAAAAACCATTGAAATAAATAAAAAAACTGTCCATTGAATACTAAAAAAATGTAAGAAGTTAGTACTTATTGTTAGTATATAAAATTGCATTAATGGATAACGAATATATCGTGTTCGTCAGAAGAATCTGATCGGAGAGTTGAAGCTTTCACTGTGAGAAACGTTCATTGAATCCGCGACGCCGTAAGAGACACCGTTATTATCCTGTGTGTGTGTGTGAGAGAGAGAGAGAGAGACTCTCTCGATCGATCGACGTTTACTTTAATTAATTGCTACCGTGTTTCGTCAGTCCTAGGAATAATTGAAACGATCACTCCCGCATCCTGTTAACACTAACTACCGTCAGCGTTCATGCTATGGTATAAAGTTTGCCCGTGCTTCGAATATAGAATCACCGGTGGCTGTAAGTTAATAGCGGAATAATAAATAAATAGGTATTTCACGATCCCATTCGCATGACGGTGCATCCACGTTAATAAATCACAGGGATCGAAGATATTCAATCTCGAGTAGCACAATACATGTGCCGTCAGTGAGTATTCATTCACTTTGGATACACTTCGCAAATTACCGAAGAATGCCTGAATTTTCCGCAAAAGTGTATTTTTTTTAATTAAAAAAAAAAAAAAAAAACAAATTATTCAGGAAGAAGATAATTTTAAATTTCGAAGGAAATGAAGAAGGATATTTGTCGACAGAGGTGTTAAATTAAATAGAAAGAAATATTTCATAAATATAAACTCACCGTGTCTGGATTTGGAAAGATCGTGAGCAGGTGACGCCGGTGAATCGATACTACCGTCATCCTCGCTGTCCGTGAAGCTTGTCGAGCCACGAAGGTTCGAGCTACGCTGACAAGCGGCCGGATAAGCCGCACCTTGAAGGTGATTTGTTCCTGGACCGAGATGCTGCGACAACCGATTCTGATAAAGATCCTGGTGGGACGGATAACTGACGGAGGTGTGCGCTGGTAACATTGGGACACCGGAAGCTCCGCCGGTGCCGTACATCCGCATCGGTAACCATGCACCGTACAATCCGAGTGGCACACCAAAACCTGACGTATATACTGAATATTAATCAATTATTCTGGCGACTGATCTTTTCTAGATCGGTCGCCTCACCTCAATTTCAAACAATGAATCATGAATTAAAGTTACTTTTCAATCTTCATACTATTCTAATCATTACGTTATACGTAGCAATGACTTTGTCGTAAATTGAAATTGTTCAATACTCTGCGCTCTGCGAAGAAACGTTTTTACATTCAAGTAAAATTTACTCTGATATCTTTTTTTCATACAACGACGTGCATTTCAGGGAATGCTGCGGACAGTAGTTCCTGCGTGATCAACGCAGATAACATTTGAACTGAGAGATGTTTTTACGGGGAATAACTTCGTTTTCATTTGAACTGTACGATGACACGTGCAACCAATGATCTATGAAACGAAAAATGTATTATCTTGTTACACGCACACACACGCACACGTGCGAATTTGAAGCTTATCGAAGTTGTTAAGGTGACGTAACATTTTAAGACGACGTTCGGTGGAAACTTATTTTAAGTCGATTTCATTCTGCGGGGGAAAAGTAGGACGTCCGCGAATTAAATTATGCATGCTACCATCCGGCAATTGTGAGATCCAGAATGAAAAGGCGGTTGCAGAATTCGTAACGGGCAATTAATCGTTAACGAAGCCTGCCCGATCGTTTTATTTTCTACAAATTTGTGTACATTGGAGGAGTTAATTTAGTAATTAAATCCCCCTTCCTGTCATTCTTCCCGAAT